GGCAGTTTGATGATTTTGATCCAGTAAGTCTAGAACTCAGTATCTCGGTAGTTCTGAAGCAGAATGGATTTTTTTTTTTTTTAAGATTTATATATGCAAAAGGCAGAGTTACAGAGAGAAAAACGAGTTCCCACCCGCTGGTTCACTCCCCAAATGGCCGCAATGGCTGGAGCAGGCCCAGGCCGGAGCTGGGCCAGGCCGAAGCCGGGAGCCTGAAGCTCCATCCAGGTCTCCCATGTGGGTGCAGGGACCCAAGGACTTGGACCATCACTTGCTGCTTTCCCAGGCCACAGCAGAGAGCTGGATCGGAAGTGGAGCAGCCGGGACTTGAACCGGCACTCATATGGGACGCCAGCTTCCCGGGCAGCAGCTAAACCCAGGGCACCACAGCGCCACCACATGCCGGTGCCACAGTGCATTTTATTCTTTAATAAGGATTTTCACTGAACATGAGCCCACAGAGATTGCTCTCGATTTAGATCATGCACGGACGAGCCTTATCTGGGCATTTCAGCTTCCTTGGAATCCCCCAAGGAGACCTCCTGGGGCAGCCTGCCGTGTGTGCACACATAGGAGCATTGTGTGTGTACGGCTCACAGCTCTGCTGAGGAGCCCACCTCCCACGCTCACCCAAAGCAGAAGAGGCGGGCACCCGGGGAGAGCTGCTGCCAGCCTCGAGTCACGCCAGTGGCACCGGTGGGGCTCCAGCCGCTTCTGCCCCGGTGCTGTGCCGCCTGGAGCCCCAGACGGGGACCAGTAACCGGTGCCAGACAGACAGCAGAGGGAAAGGGGCCATCTGACTCCAGGCAGCTCAGACCACGCTGTCCACAGGTGCAGTGCAGATGGCAGAAGCCAGCTGTGGGCCACCTGGCGAGCTCAAGGACCCAGGAACGGGGGCACGGCTCGTGGCGACCCTGCAAACCACCAGCAGGGCCCCAGGAGTCAGCCTGGCTCTCGGAGGCGGGAGAAGGCGGGGCCGCGGCCCTGGGGTCCCCTGGCTCCCCACCCTCCGTGGCCACAAGGCCCTCATTGTTCTGAGAGAGGAAACTGGAGACGTGTGCTGGGGAAGCTTTCGGAACCAGCGGAGGGAACGCGTGGGGCAGGAAACTCAGCTCGGAGACAAAAACAGCCTTGAGCCGGTCTTCATTCAAGTTGGGCGGGGGGACAATCACACGGGCCAGACGTGCCAGCACGCTGCAGTCTCTCACCGAGGGCTCTGCTTTCAAATGACCCGTGCTGGAACACGGCAGCGCCACAGAACGCCAGCCCGGCTCCCGGGACGTGTCTGTCGCACACACGGCACACCAAACGGCACACCCAACGCATGGAAGCAAAGGAAATGCCGACTGTGTCCAGGATGGCGCACGGCTTCCTCTGAGCCCCTGCCTCCTGGTCCCTGCCTCTGGACATGGGGCACTTCTCGGTTCTGGGCTCTGGGGGCTGCCCACAAGGCCCAGAGCCGAGGGCCAGCTCCGGCGGTCTGAGAACCAAGCTAAGCGGTGGGTCCCTGGGTCAGTTAGAACGCAGAGCGGCCTGGGAGTGCGGGAGGCCAGTGGCACAGGGGCCAGGCCCTGGCAGCAGGGGCAGGGAGGGCGCCTCTCCCCACCGCTGCCCTCACCTGGCTGTAACCACAGCTGCCGGAGGGCCACGTCCTGCTGGCTCCCAGTGTCTGGGCGGAGCCGCGATCTGCCTGCGTCCACTCCGTTCCCAGCTTGCCAGGTCTGTGCCAGGCAGAGCCGCGTCGGCACGCTTCTTCACTAGGGCTGGGTCGGGCCAAAGCCAAGAGCCAGGAACTCAAGCACTGGGGCCATCGCCGGCTGCTTCCCAGGAGCACTGGCAGGAAGCTGGATCCCAGGCATTCCGACACGGGACGCAGAGCGCGGGCACCACAGTGCCCGCCCCCGACCGTCCACCTTCTAACCAGACAGGCAGGCCAAGCCGGCGAGCTTGGACAGCTGCAGCCGAGCACTTCAGCGGACCCCGGGCCCCAGGGCCGGAATCCCCAGGACCCTCTCCTGGCAGTAAGTGATCTCTGCCCTTGTAGCACCGGGCCCTGGACCGGCCATTCCCAACACCGCCTCCCTGCACCCTCGGGACAAGCCTGTACGCGGCAGTGTGATTATCACCTCCACTCCCGCCCCCGCACGGGAGGGGAGGGAACGGTGGCCCAGAGCACACCGCTCACGTGTCCCCGACTGCAGAGCTGATGAGAGAGGGGCTGCGTGTGGCCAGCCGGACCCCAGCCCAACGTAGCTTCCAGGGCTGCCCGAGTGGGCCCAAGTGGGCAGTAGCCACTGGATAGAGCCTTCCGGAGCATCCACAGGTGGCCACGCCGGCCTCAGGCACCCTGGCAGGGAGCAATGGAGCGGGATCCCCTGCCCGTCACCACCACCTGCTCAAGGGCCTCCCAGGACACAGATCAGAGGCCATTCCTCGTTCAACCTCCTGTCCACTACGTCCCACACAGCCAGGGGAGATCACACAACCCCAGCCACGTCCCCACGGGAGACAACTACCCCACGATCCAGCCACCGAGATCAGATCCCGGATTAAACGCCCGAGAGAGAGCCAGGCTTGGGCAGGATCCGAGGACGGCCCCTGAGGCACGCGGGTGCCGCCTATAGCAGGAGCGGTGGAAGCCCCTGCTGTGGCCACACCCCAGCATCGAAGGCATCACTGCCTCCGGAGGAAGGCACGGACAGCCCAGCGGGAGACGCCCAAGACGTCTCGCCCAGACAGTGAGACGAGCAGGGCAGGGAGTGGGGAGGCCACGGGAGCCCAGTGCCCCTCAGCAGCGGCCTGCCGGGACCCTGGGGCAGACCCCACGATGGCTCCGAGTCAGTTATTCCCACCCCGAGGTCCACGGCCCAGGGACCACGAGAGTAAGGTGTCCTGGGTCTCTGAGCAGCCACACCAGAGCCCCACCACGTGGAGCCGACAGAGCACTCCCCACACCCGCCCCTGGCTCTGGCTGCTGGCTCTGTGTGGCTCCCAAAGGCTAAGTCACGGCTTCATAGACACAGCTTCCCCGCGAGGACGGGGTCCCAAAGAGACGGAAGGGTTTTCAAAAACTACAACGAGGAGCCCAAAGGCTGGGCCTGCCCTTGGTCCCAGCCTCGCTTCCGGAGTGAGCGCAGCCACCTCCCGTGGCTCCCCCAGCAGGTACCTCCGGAAAGCACCCCGGTCCTCGGCCAGCTGTCCTGCCACATCTCTCCACGGCGCCTGCAGCACACGGGCCGGAAGCCCAGGGGGACCCCTGAGCAGAACCCCCCAGGGCAGCAGACAGGCCCACCCCAATGCCAGCCCCCGCACAGGGTGACGTGTCGCCACAGACCATCAGCAGAGACGACGGCCCACAGCTGGCCATGGCCGGGAGGTCATCAGCCCAGAGCTGCACGGCCAGGTCCCCAGCACGGGGCAGCTCCGTGGCCTCGTGGAAAGGAAGCCGTCCACTCGAGCAGCGCCAGCACCCCCCCCAGTGCCCCCCCACTGCGGGGCCCGGGCCCGGCCACCAGCTCTGCGAGCCACAGAGAGCACGAGGCTTGGGCCGCAGGCTCCAGGGAGTGGGACCACGGCAGCAACGGGGCAGCCCACCATGCCTGGGAGCCAACTGACCCTGCAGCCAACACGCACGGAGCCCGGGCAGTGAGGACGTGACAGAACGGACGCCAGCGTCTGCACGCTGAAAGTGCTGCAAACGTCCCGGAACCACCCACACACTCCCCGGCTCCAGAGCTTCGGAGCATACAGCGTCGGCTTGCGCGACCAGCAATCCTCCTGCCCAGTTCCTTAAACGGCGATGACAACGCCACGTAGGGGAAACAGATGCCGGCCGACCTAGCTCCCCACCCGCACCTCGGGGTCCAGGCTGCGGGTGGGGTGGGGGATCTCATGCACGGGGGACCTCATGGCCAAGTCCATTTGGGATACAAACGGGTTTCCGCAAGGCCAAACAGCTGGCCTGTGCAGTCCCACCAGAGTCCACGCCTCAGGAACGGGGCGCTGACTACGGGGGGGTGGGGGGGGGTGCCAGCCCTCTCGCTTGGTCCCAGAAGTCTCTGTTCACAGCACGTCAGGTGTCCCACAATCCGGGAAACAGCTGGCCTGGATTTCAGGAGGGCAGAGGGAGCCCCCAATGGTAGAACTCGGGGCCAGGGGGCCAGACAAGGGTGGGCGAGGCCGCTCCCTGGACAGCTCTGCTGGACACCAGGCAGAGGTGGGAGGACGAGAGCTCTGTCCTCAAGGCCCCCCGGGCTGCATGGACCCTGGGAAGTTCCAGAACACGAGGAGAGGGATCTGGCCGTAGAAGCCGTCATGGCGGGGAGCGCGGCCCGCCAAGCCGACACGTTCCAGCTCTGAGCACCGGAGAACGGCACAGCACCCGAGACAGCCCAGCTGCCGGTTTTAGGAAGGTTAACCAGGGCGCGCCATACAAAACACGGGCACAGGCAACGTTCCAGGGAGACAGGGCAACTGGATGCCAGTGCTGTCTTCCACTCCAAATCCAGTCTTTCACGGAATGAGCACAGGCCTTGGAGCGGGGAGGGCAGGGACCCCCGCCGGGGCAGAGGCCACCCGCGAGGCCGCGCCCCGATTCTCCCCCAGCCACTCGCTCCCCTCTGGAAGCCACGTTCCCGCTGCACACCTGGAGCCACGGCCTGCGCCCCCAGAAGCCAGCCCTAGAACCCCGCTGGCTCGAAAGCCACCATGCCGTAGCGAGCAGGTGGCGCTTCCCGCCCAATGACCGCACGCCAGGGTGGGCCACGCAAGGTGGCACCGAGTGGGGAGGGCGCCCGGACGGACGGACGTGCTCGGGCGGCTCTGAACGCCCCGTTGAGCAACTTCCTGAGGGCGCTGCCAGGCAGGCGCCGCCTGCCCATCCGGGCTCACAGAGGTGCAGCCCTCTGCCGAATCCGAGGTGCCTCCAGGTTGTTCTGGAAAGAAGGAGGAGGGGAGCTGTGACTCACCCAGTAATACACCCGCCCTGCGGCTGCCGCTGAAACTAGTTTGCATTATAGGGCTGGTCCCAAGCAGGCACGGGGGGCGAGCCGCGCAGAAGCGGCACCGGCCGCCCGGCCCCACGGCACCTCTCCAGCGCTCCCCGAGCTTCCAACGACCCACGAATTGCCAGGCTGGCGCCCCCACAGGCCACACATCATCTGAATTGGACAGCCAGCGGCCAGCTCGCCACAGGCCACTTAAAATGCAGCCCGCGGCTCTCCGCCCGACCGCCGCGAGCCGCCATCATGGACACGAGTGGAGTGCAGCCCATCAAACTGGCCAGGGTCACCTGGCTCTCAGGACAGCGCACGCAGGTGCGCGTGGAGTTCATGGACGACACAAGCCACTCCATCATCCGCAACGTGAAAGGCCCCGTGCGGGAGGGCGGCGTGCTCACCCTGCTGGAGTCCGAGCGGGAGGCTCGGAGGCTGCGCTGATGCCGCCGCGCAGGGGGTGAAAAAAAAAAAAAAAAAAAGAAAGAAAGAAATGCAGCCCGCGGACACCTGCTGATGTCACTGTTTACTTCTTCAGTCCATAGATCAAAAGGCGGACCCTGAAGTGTGCACGGGGTCTAAGGGAACAACGAAGACGGACTTGGCACAGCCGGGGCCACGGAGATTAAAACAGCAGCAAACGGCACAGAGAGCCGCCCCGGCCCCTGAAACCCCACAGAAGGATCCGGAGGCAGGAGCCAGGCGCCTGGAGACGCTGCACAGGGGGACAAGATAGAGAATTCCAGGAAGGTGCCGGGCAGCTCCCCACCTGCTGGCCAGATCCCAACCCCAAACCGCACACCAAAAAAAAAAAAAAAAAAAAAAAAAAAATCAGACACAGACACAGCAGTGCCTGATTGGAACACACACAACAGTAAGAGCCCCGGAAGGGAACACAGGCAAACGTGCTTGCAGTCTGAGCCCAGGTGAGGGGCCTGCTACAGACCCGAGGGAAAACCTGGGACACAGACAAGAGCTGCACAACCGGACAGCAACTCAGCAGAGGTGGGCAGAGGCCAAGAGCCGGCGACTTGCAGAACCAGCAGTGAGGGAGGCGCGAGTCCGAACGTGGTATAATTCTTAACCAACTCGGGACCCAAATGCAAGAACCCCAGAACCCGAGTGGGGAGGACGCGGCAGAGCGGGCGCCCCCACGGACAACGGCAGGGGTCACTCTGCCAGGGTGTGGATCTGCACAGCCTTCCGGGATGGCCGCCGCCAGCATCTTTAAAACCACAAATGGAGGCGCTGGCACCGAGGCGGCAGGTGAAGCCATCACCTACAGCGCCAGCATCCCATGTGGACGCCAGTGCGAATCCTGGCTGCTCCCACCTCCGGCCCAGCTCTGCTGTGGCCTGGGAAAGCAGTGGAGGACGGCCAAGTGCTTGGGCCCCTGCACCCACGTGGGAGACCCGGAAGAAGCTCCTGGCTCCTGGCTTCAGATCAGCGCTGGGGAGTGACCCAGCGGATGGAAGATCTCGATCTCTCTCTCTCTTTCCTCTCTGCTTCTGCCTCTCTGTAACTTTTCCTTCCAAATAAATAAATCTTAAAAAAAAAATAGATATGCACAGCCATCTGCAGTGCCGTCATCACCTATGGGCGCTGGTTCAAGTCCCGGCTGCTCCACTTCCGATCCAGCTCCCTGCTAACACACCTGGGAAAGCAGCAGAGGACGGCCCAAGCCTGGACCACTGCCACCCACGTGGGAGACTCGGATGGAGTTCCAGGTTCCCGGTGTCGGCCTGGCCCAGCCTCAGCCATTGTGGCCATGTGGGGAGTGAACCCACAGAGGGAAGATCTCTCACTCCCTCTCTCCAACTCTTTCAAATAAACAAGCCCTAAAAAGCAAATATAAACGACGTGTTCTCCCTGGGAACGTTTTCTCACAGGTGCACGGAGACAGCGAGGGTCACTGTGGCGTGCCGTCTAATAGCGAGAAAGCCTGGAGAAAGGCAAATGCCGGGAACGCCCGGTGCACCTGCGCGCTGCCAAATGCCGCTCGGCCTTTTTTTTTTTTTTTTTTTTTTTTTTTTTTTGACAGGCAGAGTGGACAGTGAGAGAGAGAGACAGAGAGAAAGGTCTTCCTTTTGCCGTTGGTTCACCCTCCAATGGCCGCCGCGGCCAGCGCGCTGCGGCCGGCGCACCGCGCTGATCCGATGGCAGGAGCCAGGAGCCAGGTGCTTTTCCTGGTCTCCCATGGGGTGCAGGGCCCAAGCACTTGGGCCATCCTCCACTGCACTCCCTGGCCACAGCAGAGAGCTGGCCTGGAAGAGGGGCAACCGGGACAGAATCCGGCGCCCCGACCGGGACTAGAACCTGGTGTGCCGGCGCCACTAGGTGGAGGATTAGCCTAGTGAGCCGCGGCGCCGGCCGCCGCTCGGCTTTTGAGAAGCAAGGGTTCAGCTCCAGCCATTGTGGCCATCTGGGGAGTGAACCAGTGGACAGAAGACCTGTGTGTGTGTGTCTGTCTCTCTGTCTCTCTGTCTTTCAAATAAAATAAATAAGTCTTTGAAAAAAAAAAAATCTCCTTTGCCAAGGCACCAAGGACAAGGACTGTGCCCCACACAACCCAGGGTGGGCTGTGCCGGGCCAGCCGTGAGGCCTCGAAGCCAGACAATCCTGTGTGATGGCACCAGGCAGACCCCTCCCTGCCAAACACCGGGACGACAAGTGCCAGCCTGGCTGACAGAGAGCCGGTCTGCCCCAGGCCCCGGCACAGCCCTGCCGCCCCGTGGTGCAGGCAGTGCCCGAACAGAAGGTCAGCGTGCAAGCTCTCGGCCACAGCTCAGACCAGACGCTTAACCCTCACCCAGCCGCGCGCGGGGCGTGCCACTGGCATCGGGTTTCACAGGGGCTGGGGTGACCTGTGGTGGCCGCACGGGCAGCCAGAGGCAGGGCCCGCGGCAGGCAGGCTGGCCGACCGCAGAGCCTCTCAGCCCCCGCCGTCCCCCCGGAGGGTCTTTTCCAAGGACTTCCAGAAGCGTCTGTGTCTGCTGGGCCCCAGCAGCAACACACGGCATCGCACGGACAGGGGGACTTGGGTCGGTGGACTCTGGGTGGACTCTGGGCTCATTCCCATACTGGGGAGCCCGGATGGACACGGCCCAGGCCAGGGACTCCATCAGGACTTGGTCTGTGGACTCTGGGTGGAGTCCTGGCTTGTTCCCATGCTGGGGAGCCCGGATGGACACAGCCCAGGCCAGGGACACCATCAGGACTTGGGTCTGTGGACTCTGGGTGGAGTCCTGGCTTGTTCCCATGCTGGGGAGCCCGGATGGACACAGCCCAGGCCAGGGACTCCATCAGGACTTGGTCTGTGGACTCTGGGTGGAATCCTGGCTTGTTCCCATGCTGGGGAGCCCGGATGGACACAGCCCAGGCCAGGGACTCCATCAGGACTTGGTCTGTGGACTCTGGGTGGAGTCCTGGCTTGTTCCCATGCTGGGGAGCCCGGATGGACATAGCCCAGGCCAGGGACACCATCAGGACTTGGGTCTGTGGACTCTGGGTGGAGTCTGGGCTCATTCCCATGATGGGGAGCCCGGATGGACACGGCCCAGGCCAGGGGCACCATCTCGCCCCCCACTGCCACCCTGCACCCCGACATCCCCCGGAGGCTGCATCTCTTGGTGTTCCCGGTCCCAAAGGGACAGGACAGGTTCTGCAAAGACAGAGTCCAGGCTCACAGCGGCCTGGGCCGGGGGGGCCGGGGGGGCGGGGGCTTTGCGAGCGGAGGACCCCGAGCGGGTCAAGGCGGAGCCAGGCGCTCCCTGAGGAACCCCACGCACTGCAGGGACAGCGGGCGGCAGAAGAGGCTCTGGGGGTCTGGGGGTCTGGGGGTGGGGAGCAGCCCCCCAGCCCCTGGGCCCAGACGTCTCAGGCTCCTGAGGGAAGAGCAACACGCAGGGCAGGGCCTCAGACACCGGCGCCAGCCGGTTTTGTCTGACAAATAGGGAAACTGAGGCACACGCCGGCGCCTGCTCCTCAGGCCCAAGGGGGAGGGGCAAGGGCTCCATGCCCCACGGAGTCCTGGATTGAGGGGCCCTCGCTGGGCTCTTGAGACCCCCCCCCAGGGGCTACCATCCCGGCCTCAGTTCAACCACAAGAACACTGGCGTCCATGCACACTGGAAAACATCCACCAAATTAGCGACCGTCCAGTAAGGCAACCAAGAAAACACCCAGCGCCCCCCCCCCCGCATCGCAACAGCCACCCTGGCCGGTCACAGCGAGGGGACACGGGATCGGTCCAGCACCATGGGGCTGCTGCCACCAGGGGCCCTGGAGCACCTGCAGCCGGGCCCAAGAACGGTCACTGCGCCCGGCGAGCCAGCCGGCACACCAGGCCAAGTCAGACCAAAGGCTGGATGGAGGCTCAGGGCCGGGCAGGGCCCATGGGGCCAAGCGGCGCAGGGCGGGGGGAGGGGTGGGGGTGGGGGTCAGGCCTCTGCAGGGCTTAGGGGGTGCCTGAGCCCCTTGTGCCTGCGCCAGGCGGACAAGAAACTGCGCAGCCAGCACCAGCTGCGCTCCTGCTCGGGGTTCCAAGTACCACTCAGGGATGAACCAGCACCAAGCATCGCCCCAGCAGCCCCACCAGCTCGCAGGCCCCAGTGGGCACCCGGAGCCTCGGCCAAGCCCTTGGGGTGCCTATAAAAGGCAGGGGCTCTCTGTCCAGCGCCGCGGCTCACTAGGCTAATCCTCCGCCTAGCGGCGCCGGCACACCGGGTTCTAGTCCCGGTCGGGGTGCCGGATTCTGTCCCGGTTGTCCCTCTTCCAGGCCAGCTCTCTGCTGTGGCCCAGGAGTGCAGTGGAGGATGACCCAAGTGCTTGGGCCCTGCACCCCATGGGAGACCAGGAGAAGCACCTGGCTCCTGCCTTCGGACAGGCGCGGTGCACTGGCTGCAGCGCACCGGCCATGGCGGCCATTGGAGGGTGAACCAACGGCAAAAGGAAGACCTTTCTCTCTCTCTCTCTCTCACTATCCACTCTGCCTGTCAAAAAATAAAAATTAAAAAAATTAAAAAAAAAAAAAGGCAGGGGCTCTCCACATCTTTCCCACGACGGCACCACCCCCGACACCGGCTCACTGAACCCTGCCCAGCACTGGCAGGGTGGACACCCGCGTCCCAAGTCCCCCAGTGAGGAAACGGGCTCAGCGCCAGCCAGCTGCTTCCCAGAGCTGCAGGAAAGCCGCGCGCCGGCTCCCCAGCCAGGCCGACCCCGGGGCCGCTCCCGGACGGCCCCACAGCTGCCTCCAGCCGTCACTCGGACCTGCCCCGCCCCCTGCACAGCCCTGCAGGGCAGCTGGCACGGGGCCCACCGCTGCTTTCTGGACAAACGTGCGAACAGGGCCTGCAACCCAAGGAGTAGACACGGCCCCTGCTCCCGCCACAGCCCCAGCCACACTCCCCATTTTGAAGGCATTTTGTCCCCAAGGCCACAACATCCGGTCCCCTCGGGGTTA